CAAATTCATATAGAAAACCTATTAAAATATTACCAATATAGAATAATGTTTATTACATGATATACGGTATTGGGCTGCAATATCAATTTATGTACCATGCTCACGTATTGCCACCTTGTGTCGAAAGATGGACTTCAAAAATATTACATAAGCTGAACACAAAGACGCACTATAGGAGCTTGGTTTTATAGATTGTATTGCCTATTATAAGCAATAGCTTAGATACTATGAAATATTTTTAATTATAAATAATTAAAAAAAAAAGATGGTATATTACTGCGGGGAGGATTACTTTCTTAAATTTTGAATATTAACTCTTTTAGCCAATTTGTAATAAACAGTCAATAGATATGAGGATATTGTATATTGAAGTTGTTATTGTGTATGTTATGTCACATACTATATTTATAGTACATTCAGATTAATTTTATACAGAGTTATTTTCATTTCTTATAACAGAGCATTTATAACATTTGTTTCCTATAAGAATAATTATCATTATTTACATCATAAATGTTCAAGCTTTGCAGAATCCAATGAGACAAGAATACGAAAGGCTTAATATACAAACTAAATGAATAACGAACACTTCGTTTATTCAACAAAATGCGAGTACGGAAATCCAAATCAGATTGATATTAGAATAATAACAAAGGAAAAACCGAACGCACCCACAGATGATATCTTGTTTATAAGTATATCATGTATATGATTTAACACAATAACGTTTGCTTAAAGAAATAAAGAAAAAAAAAACAAAACAAAAAAAAAAACAAAAAAAAAACTGTCGAATGTGATACTCAAAAAGCATATATCCGAAACCACAAGGTACATTCCATATACTTTTCATTCATACAAAATTTGTTTAACACATGTCAATCAAACATTCTTCTCCACAAGCAAAATAGAATATCATGTATACATTTATCATAGCATATTCAATGTGTGCAATGATTATAAAACTAGAAACGCAAAGGTGCATATGTCCTCTGAAATTCTTTAAGTAGTTGTGGTTGTCATCTGAACGTTTTGTTCAGGGATCAAATTGCCTCGTTCATTTAAAAAGTAAACATTATGCTTTGCCATTTGACCGTATATGGATTGAATTGAAGGTGTTGTATTAGTCTAATTAATGTACAAATATTTGGTGTCTTCCTTGAAAGTCTAATTTTGATAAAATATTTATATTTTCAAATGCCTAAATAAAATTAATTGAATGGTTATTGTTTTAGTGAATGTGTGTTGTAACAGTTTTAGAACACAATTTGAATATTAGGTAAAAGGTAGTTTGAAGTAGAGACTTTTATAGTACTATTTTGCTCCTTTTAAGGGGCATTAGCTACGAGATATATAAACAAGAGGCTCTTAAGAGCCTGTGTCGCTCACCTGTATCTACTGTGGTTTTGGAAATCATGTAAAATAAGGTTAAAATCATATGGATACCCTAAAAATGATTGAGGCCAAGTTTGGTTTAATTTGGCCCTTTAGTTAAATTAAAAGCAGAAGAAATTTGAAAAAATTTACAAAAATTACCAATAAATTGCAGAAAATAACTTTAAAGGACAATAACTCCAATAAGATGTCAATTGCCAATTTTGGTCATGTTGACTTATTTGTAGATCTTTCTTTGCTTGATATTTGTGCTATATACAGTGTATATCAATCTATAATGATATTCAAGATAATTTACAAAAAACAAAAAAATTCCTCCGCTCCAAAATTTATTTCACCCAGGGCCTGCATAATGCTGAAAATGCCTTTAAATGTTTTTATGGAACACAATGCACAAAATAATTTGAACAGGGGTTCCCCTGAACCCGACTTATCCGCCGGGTCTGAGGGGCATTCGCCCAATATAAGTATCCGGAAAGAAAAGATATAATAAAGGTTTATACAAAAAGTAACACAGAATAATTCTGAAAATGGAACATATCAAGGAGAAATTATTAGCACCCCCCCAACCCCCCAATCCCCTGAAAAAATTGCACCCCCGGAAAAAAATCAAGTCATCCCATTGTAGTCTTACAATAGTTACTGAAGACCCCTTATTATTATTTAAATTAGTTTTCAAGTTATGACCATTTGATGAAATTGTGTTTTTACATTTTCCCCCAGAGACTTCTATAGTATTATAAACCCCCTCCTATGTTCTATTTTTACCCATGGAGACCATGTTGGTTATAGGGCAGGGTCATCGGATACATTTGACTTTTTTGGTCATGTTGACTTATTTGTAGATCTTACTTTGCTGAACAACTTATAGCCATTGTGGCCATCTTGTTAGGTGGGCGCAGTCATCGGATACATTTTTTAAACTAAATACCCTAAGGATGATTTAGGCCAAGTTTGGCTTAACTTGGCCCAGTCATTTCAGGAGAAGATGTTTGTAAAAGATTACAAAAATGTACAAAAAAATGTGAAAAATTGACTTTAAAGGGCATTAACTCCTTAAGGGATCAATTGACAATTTTGGTCATTTGACTTATTTGTAGATCTTACTTTGCTAAACATTTTTGCAGTTTACAGTTTATCTCTATCTATTATAATATTCAAGATAATAACAAAAAACTGCAAAATTATCTAAAATTACCAATTTAGGGACAGCAACCCAACAACGGGTAGTCTGATTCGTCTGAAAATTTCAGGGCAGATAGATCTTGACCTGATGAACATTTACCCCATATCAGATTTGCTCTAAATGCTTTAGTTTCAGAGATAAAAGCCAAAAACTGCATTTTTTTAAAAATGAAACAAGGGTAAACCATTTGGTTGACTGTTTAAATCCACAAAAACTCATTCTTATACAGGTAAAAACGATGATTAACAATTAAAAACTATCTACAAAAGTGGAAAAATACATATTAATATAATTTAATATATTTATATACCCACATTAACAATAATCAACCCAAAAAGGGTGGGTTGGTGGGTAAACATAATAACAAACTGCTGCTCCGTAAACTATAGACAAACTTCGAATAAATTTAATTTCTCGAACGAACCCCTTAAGTGATACTTAATTATGCTTATCACGAATCTCATGAGTTGCATATACCCGTAAAAACCGGGTATATGCCATCCAATCATAACTAACATAAACACAAACCATGTGCTTTGAATAAACACAAACACATGTTTATAGTAAACAATCACTTGTCAATGACCGTTACTACATCATGTGACCAATAACTTTAATAAATATATATATTTTACCTGTATTTTGTCCGCAGATTAAAGAATTGAATCATTCAAGGAATAAACCAAATACCAATAAAAAGATATCAAGATAGCAATAAATGAATAGTAAGTAAGACAGGATAGACGACATAAGAAATAGTATGCTAATGTGAGTAAATCTTTTTATTTATTTTTTTGGTATTAGTTGAAAGTAACATTACAAATACATCAATGTTTATATTGATCTAATATTGTTTTTATAGTGATCACATTAAAAGTCTCTGAAATTGTTTTCCACCCTTAAATGAACTCCTGATTATTGAAAAAAAATCACGTAACATGAAATTGACATGTCTCTGGTGTATAGTTGTCTCATTTACCATCACACCATATACCGTAGTGTTCTCGCAATAAGTAGTATAAACCATTTGAATTCACGGGCGAATCAACTATTAGCTTTTAAATGCATAATGTTTTCTCACATTTTAAATTTTAATCTATTTAAGAATAAATTGAATGTCGTATATCATTGAAACGAAAATCAAGACATTACAAAATTTCACCGAATATCTAGATTGTATGGTCTTTCAAAATCTACGTCCACGAATACGTCAATCCAAACTTAAGTTAACTCATGTGAGTTTGATTATCTAAGTAATATATTTCACTGACTTCTTTCACCGCTTTTATTTTATCAGGTCAAACTGCAGAATTACTTGTCATGTAGAATTGTTACAATGCAAGGGTTCTTAAGCTAAAACAACATTTATTATATCATATCCAATTATTTAGCTCAAATAAGTTTTGATATATCTTGTTTGAAGAATCTTTTGTTTTAAAAGAAATTGAGTATATCTTAAGTTGGCTAAGTTGGTCAGCTTAAGGTCCACTAGCCTGTCAACTATGAGGTTGTTAGTTCGAACAATATTCATGGCGCATAGTCTTAATTGTCAAGGAATGATAGTTTCCTGCCGAAGGATGGTTCATGGTATCCCCCCCCCCCCCTTTTCATCGACCAATTAAAGGTTGGCGTCATAATATAGTCCATATAATTCCCTTACGCTTTACTATGGAATGTTTAAACAATAATTCTTGATAAAAAGTTGCTTGCTGAAGTAATTGGAGTTACTCTACTTTAATTGGGTCATGGTAGCACTAATGTTTCATTATTTAGTAGCTGATCGTTTCTTTATTTTCCACTTTAAAGTATTTGCATATTGATTTTTTTTGTAATATTGTAATATAGGAATAAGGACAATCGTCTTTATGAATTTTATCTTTTTATGTTGTTTCGTATGAAAATTAGAGGCTTTATAGAGGTTGTGTCGCTCACCTGGATCTATGTTCATCTTTAACAATTGATGGTCACTCTCCAACATTGTAGACTAGAATATGATTTAGATTGAAATGCTATTTTTTGGTTGAACTTATATTGCTGCTTATTATCTTTATTCAAGGCTAATACCTCCTATAAGGAAATTGACTGACAATTTCGGCTTCGTTGAACTATTTATTCATCTTGTCTTGCCGATCATACAGTTTTTGCAAAAAATGGCAAAACATGTTAAAATCTATAGAAAAGGGCAGTTTCAACTATAAGGAATCGACTCACATTTTCGGCCATGTTGATATATTTGTAGAACTTGTCTTGGTGATCCTTGTTGTCTATGTTTTTTTTGTTTTTTGTTTTTTTTTTTTTGCAATTAAAAATGCAAACATGGGTGAAATTCATCATTATAGAGCAATAACTACTCAAAGAGTAGACTGACAGTATCGGCCATTTGTTTTATATTTATTTTTTTTGTAGATCTTGTCCTGTTGATTATTTTTGTTATTATAAGTTTCTCTCTATCAATTATAGTGTTCGAGTTTTACCCTTTTTTTGCGTTTTTGTTAATTATCTTATCTAGTAATTCTCCAATAGTAAAGTATTTTATTCATTGCTGAAATGACTTTCCAGTTTTTTTTTTAAATAACGGAATCAGTGAATTTACCATTGGCAATGATAATTCACGAACAACACTAAAATACAACGTACGCAGTTAATAAACTTGCTTACACTGCACATATTTTGCTATACACTGAACTCAGTCGGCGTTTATAGGGTCCAATTTGCAATATGATTGGAGGTATGGTATTTCATATTTAAATGGCCAGTGAAAAAAGTATTTAAATTTTGTATATGACAATTTAATACAAAGTAACAGATAATACAGCAAATGATCTTTTATTAACATTTTTGTGTCAAATTAGTTGAATTTTTATAATGTTTTAATTGAATCATAAATTCAAACGAAATGTTGGCTCTACTTTTGATGTATTTACAGTTAACATTCTTTTTTGTTGTTGTAATATTTTAGAAATGAAAGATACAAATTTATTCGTGTGTTCGTGTGTTCTCGTATGAAACAGGTATTATCACTATCACCAGAAGTCCATTAATGGACTTCTGATATCACTTATTGTCTGTATTTTAACCAAAAAAGTATAACAAAAATACTGAACTGCAAGGCAAATTAAAAAAAGGGAAGTCCATAAAACTGACAAAATCAAACGCTATCACCAACGGAACACAAGTGAAAAACAACTGCCATATTTCTGACTTGGTATAGGCATTTTCAAAGATTTATTCCCCCCCCTTACACAAGTTATCACCTACAATTAAAATGGTTTAGATACGTAGCTTTTCCCGGCAATAGAAATTTGCCATCATGATACCAAAGAAAGCTGATGTTGGCGTTATCACCAGCAGTTAGTTTATCTAACTCTACAAAAAATCGTGAAATGTGTTCAAATTTAAATGACGTATTGCAAAACTTTTATAGACTGGCGAAACAAATTATACGTTTAAGTTTTCTTCTAATAACAATATGTGAACATGAGAAGTTTAATGCTAAAAAAGTTGTTCTATGATTATATTTATGAATGCATTCGCGTCGCGCATGCGACAGGAATATTTCCACGTTCCTGCATTGTCAATCACTTAAAACTCCTAAACTGTACTGTTTTGCGTCATATACATATTCATGAAGTTTTCCCACGGTCCGTGCAAAACGTTTTTGGATTTTTCTTTACCATAAGATCTGGGCATACATGCAATTAAAATAGTCCTGGAAGATGGTGTCTGAGGGAGAGACCTTGGATTTACTGTAAAAGGTGGATTGAATTATGAATTTGAATTGAAAGGTACGAATATTTTATTACATAGAACTCAAACTCGGTATACTCTTTTGGAAATTAATTTAGTTTAGTTGACGGCTTCTTTAATGTTTGTCTTGGATATAATACATGGAATATTTGCCACTGTGTGTTCGAAATTGACATTTTAATGTTACGCACATATGGACATTATCGCTAAATTCCTTCAGTAAAATTCCACGGGGTTTCTACAACTATCGGGATTTATCCCGTGACTGAATGGTGCTACTTCGGGTGAAATAGTCGTGCACCCGTTTAAAAATAGATTTCCTTGTCAAAAACTAGAACCCCCATAATGCAATTCAAATTTTGAGAGGGTTTTCTTAACAAAAAAATGATGACCAATTCTAGGTAGTAGTGCGGACAGACGAACACAGTCTTACATCTAAACCCTTCCGAGTAAAAATTTCATATCTTCTCTCAATTATGAAATGGCTACGTAGAGTTGTAAATCAGTCATCCCATGCTGATAAATGGACAGATAACATTACTTAAGAAATTGAATTTTTTTTTATTTCAACATTTTTATAACTAATCATGGAAATCAGATATTAAAATGAACGAAGGAAAGTTTGTGATGCATTATTTTCCTACACATTAAAAAAAATAGATTTTTTTATTTTTCTTCCTACAAAAACTTCACACAATTTATATTAGATATTTACATTTGTAATTAACTAAATATTCACATTTACAAACATAGATAAGTGTTCTGTATTTACTATTAATTCATTCATGCAACAATTACCACCTTTTATCAAGCACAAAACATGTGGTATTCATCGACTAACAAACTTACAATTTGAGTGATAAATTCATTTGAAAATTAAGTGTTTTCTTAGTTGTGGGCTGATAAGCTGATTTCCAATCATACATTTTTTTGATGCGATTTCTTGGGGATAGATATAGAACTTAACAGGGTATCGGTCAGCACAAGCTTTCTGATCAAAAGATTGAGAACCGTTCAAACATTTTTTTTTCAAATTTAAATATTGGACAAAATGGATTACGGATATCTAACCTGATTTTAACCATTATCCGGGTTTGCTTTAGTTTGGTAGTCTCTTTTTTAAAAGAATTGATAAAAAATGTAATTATGATATAAAAGTGATCATTGCTAAAGTGCAAAAAAAAAATAAAATGATTTAATGCATTTTTTCTTACGTACGTATGTACGCAGTAAATAAACTTGATTACACTGCACATATTTTGCTATACACTGAACTCAGTCGGGCGTTTATAGGGTCAAATTTGCAATATGATTGGAGGTACATGTATGGTATTTCATATTTAAATGGCCAGTGAAAAAAGTATTTAAATTTTGTAATTGACAATTTAATACAGAGTAACAGATATTACAGCAAATGATCTTTTATTAACATTTTTGTGTCAAATTAGTTGAATTTTTATAATGTTTTAATTGATTCATCACGTACGTATGTACGATAAATATAATGTTTTATTTTGAAATGATTATTTTTGCAGATGACACTTGTTCAGAGCAGAGCTTAAATCGAAAGAATTTGTACATGTGGCACATTTCTTCATCTTTTTTTCAATGGGGAGCACTAATGGCTTGAATCAGAGAGAGTGAACAATATCATTTAACACTGGATCAAATCTTAACAAAATCCCTGTACTAAACGCTACTCGGAAAGACGATGTTACCACCTGTGCAATGTTTCAGTTATCTATTACATGCATCAAGAGTGCACGTTTCTTTTGTTTATTCAAATGAGCATAAGCTGTCAAATTCATGTTAACTGATTTGACCCAAATTCTCATATTTGGTTTATAACATACTAAAACGTATATCCAAATTACAAATATTCCAAAGTAAACAATAAACAATGCTTTAATATAACTGCATTTCATGCGTACTTTAGATTATACACCATCTAATTATCAATAGAAATGACCCCCGGTCATTTATTTAGCCCAATATAAAAATAAATATAAATATGCAGACAAACACGTTCAATCGTAAAATGTTTTTTTTTCTAGGTCTGTTTTATTTCAGGTTATTGGTTAAAGAAATATGTAACTCATCATTAAACCTACATAAGAATGATTTTTTTTCTGGGCTAGATCAGTCCACGAAATAATTATTCATGGTGTCTTCCTTGTTTCATTTTTCAATTTTGTTTTCAATGTTGACATTCTTTACTGAAATACTGACCAAATGCTTAACAAATGCGCAACCAAACTTTATTAAAGGTTAAACAATAAACAGTTGCATGAATGCGGATTCAATGAGTTGAACCATTGACTTGCAAGCAAATAATACAACACGAAGTTTTTTTGGCTTATTTTGAAGAAATTGGACCAAACTGACAGTTAATAGCGAAAAATCATACATTCTGATTTTATAAATGTTTAAAAAATTTAAAAAAAATAAATCATAGCTTAATTTTTTGTCCAAGTTTTAGCTAGTGGCCGTTTAAAATTAACGAATTCTTAGAAGCAGGACTATTTACAACTTCAAATGTCTTATTTTATAGCGATTTAATATGTAAGGCCATTTCAAATTGAACATTTTATCTTCAGAACTTTACGTAAAATAAATATTGGACCAAGCGAGCGTTATTTCTAATATTATATTTTTCTTCCGAAATTAACAATTTAGAAAGCAATAGCTGAAACTTGTTGAGAGAAAAGAATGTAATTTTTTGCTACAAAACAGTAGAGCTAGAAATCATTTTTCAACATAGAAATACGTAATTTTTTTGTGAATTGTGAGGTCGAGCAAAAAAAAGGAAATAGTTGTTTTCATTTCAATGGAGCAATAATTCAATAAAAATGTTCAGGGAATGGCTATATCTTTTTTTAAGGTTTCAAATTTTAGAGCGTTGAAATCTGAAGAACTATGAATTAGTTTGGAGTAGCCTAAATTTGCCTTTACATCTGTCACTTAATAATATGATTGCAAATATATAAAAACTAAAAAATAACAATATAAAGTTACATACAAAATACTAACAGTTTGAACATATATGAACTCATATAATAAACTCATAATAATCATCACTGTAACTTTTAGATGAACAGCCATACAAGCCTGTTCCTTTGCTTTTTGTGTTTTTATTTAGCTGTGCATGTACTGATTTTGTGTCATGGATGGATACCCAATATCCTTTGTCTTTCTATTCTATCATCATAGATACCAGACTAAAAGTTTTGTAGGCCAGACGCGCGTTTCATCTTCAAAAGAATCATCACTGACGCTCGAATCAATAAATTTAAAATAAAAGAACGAAGTTGAAAAGGATAAAAAAAAGGGCATATTATTATTGGTGAGTCACGGTACATTCTCATACATAGTGCACAGAAGATAACTCTTTATTTTGCTTTTGGTTCATCAATCAAATCACAAACTTATATTGATATATCAACATTCTCTACATAAAGGATCCAGATCAGTTTCTGGCTATGAATCAAGTGTTTAAAGTTGGTTCAGAGTGAAATAACATTAGAGCACATGCAGTTTCATTTAGTTTGAGATGATATGCACGAAAAAAATCCCAATTTCATTAGACGTGCAATATTGTTTTTTTCTTTATGATCACAAGTTTATGTTTTGATCATCTTTAGGAGTAAAGGTTTACATAAATTCAGGTAGAACTTTTGAAATGAAATAAATGTATTATAAAATAGCAAACAGGAAATGTCAAATCTATTGTATCTTATTTTCATTCCATAAGATGTCGAACATTGTAAAGTGGATTTGTAATAAATGTGGACAATTCAGTACAATTGAAGACAGGAAATGCACAGAATGTTTGGCAGACTATGCTGATGGAGGTATTTAAAAATAAAAGTTTTACAGTCGCCAGTAAACTCGGTTGACCGTTTTAATCGCAGTGGTGAGACTAAGGTTGCAATACACAGTTATGAAAAAAATCAAACATTAACTATCATAATTACTGTGTGTGTCATGTATGTGCATATATAAGGAAACAACATCTTCCATAGATTTGATTTCCAATAGTTATCATGGTGAAATATAATCTCTTTTTGTTGTAACCGTGGCAACAAACAAATATTGCAAAAAGGGAGGGGGGATGAAAATGTCCCAAAAGTCCCAAAAAATTTGTCCAAAGTAGAATTTAAATCCATTGGAGTGATACCTTCAGCTTTCTAAAAATCAATTATAAAAAAAATTACCGGGGCCAAAATGCAAAACCAAACTCCTAACTGTGTATTGTTACAGTCGACGTTCAGTTTACGGCATTGAAGTCGTTAACAATGAAAATTTGATAGGGCCACTAATAGTAGGTTTAGGATATTTGTTATATAGTTGAATTAGCATTGGCCTATCTCATTTCAATGGAAATATTTTCCCTAGAGTGTGTAAACATTTGTTATAATGTCATTTTATCTGGAACTACTCATGGCATGTCAATGTTCTTTGGTATGCAGTGTGATAAATTGACAATATACCACATAGACAATTTGTCCACTTAACCTCAATCATGGTCTATTGACTTTTGAATACTTTACATGTAAAAGTTTGTGTTGAGGTCAGTTTTAGGGGAGATACTTATAAGTCAATGATATTTGGTATGCAAACGGTTTTAGCATTGGACTATCTCATACCTATTGAGATTATTTGGCCCTGCATCTCATTCATGGTTCATCAACAATGTTCATTGACGGAATGTTTTGCAAACTTTGTCATTTCTAATTTCAAGCTTTTCAATATATTACCAAAAGTATATACTGGCGTTTCTTTGTCAACAGTTCATTGAATGAATTTGTTACTTAAAATAAAAATCTTCAATTTAATACTAGTACTACCACAAATACCTTCATTTTCAAATGAAATTTAATTGTCCCTGTCGTGTTACTCTTTCTCTACTTTCTGTGTATTATTTGTATACTGATGATTGCATTTTTGAATATTTTACCGGGTTTCTGTGCCCTATCTATAGATACTTGCATTGTTAACAAATAAATGAAAGACGAAGGATGTTTTTATAAGTGTCAGTATATGTTCCCTTTAATTAACTTTTTTTCAAATTTGAACATCAGAAAATTGAGGCATGAAATACATCTTAAGGTCGAGAGATATTTTGACGTTTAGATTTAGATTTTTTTGTTGTAACTTCCCTGAATCTGTAAAAGTTACAATAGGACAAATATTAAGTTCATATTGCAGAGATTTGATACTTCAGCACCAAACCTACCAGATGAAGTTTATTGCAGTTATTTTCTTTAAAAAGCGTATGAAAATAACACTGCTAGTACTTCCTTTAATGCCGTTTCGATAAAGTACATTAAGTTTACCTAGAAGCTTTCCCAAACCTCTCACTTGGCATTACTCCAGTGAATGTTTTGTTTAATCAATATGACTTTCAACTCCAAATGAAAAGGATGTCCCTAGGATCATCTTAAATGATGTCATGAAAACAACCTTTGTGCAGTCTTCAGATTCCTCTTTATGCTACAAACATTTAAACAAGTCTATTTATGTTTGGTCCTGTTTTGTTCAACTTTCAGATATATTAGATTTCAACGACAATTTGCAGCATTGTCTCATTTCTAAATGTAATCAAAACACCTGTTAAACTTGTGGTATACTGATTACTGATATCTTCTTTCAAAATAACTAGAGAACGATATGTTATAATATACGAAGATCTGAATTGTACTGCTTCTAATATTGTGTATGGTATTGAGGTATTTGTTTGTGGATTAATCTATGTCGTGGAAACACGATAAAGACTTAACGAAATAATGAACGATGACCTGTCTAATGTTAATGATCCTGAGAACAATACATTTTTTTTATTATCACTTGCACAAATCTGATCAGTCCATCCTCTCTAAATAAGAAAGTCAGGATCATAGAGAAACTCTATCATTCTACAAATGATCCATATTGAGTACACCATATCCCTTAAAAATAGAAGGTTTCTGGATTCGAGAGTTGTGAATAGCTATCCCTTGTGGATGCAACGACAAAAGTAATGGTTTAGGTATGTTGTCTAGTCCAAGGTAAAGTGAAATCAACAAATTAAAATTAGTTTGCAATCTCTTTTTCTACGCATTAGGAGTCATGGTCGTCGACAATATACACCATATGCAATTCACACCTTGTCTATAATTTTCTGGACATAAACCTTTGGGAATTCACTGTATTTGAACTAAACTTTTTTCTATACTTTTATCAAAGCTCAATTCACTATTTCAAAAGGCTCCAAACACTTTTGTCATTAACACAAATTCTGAATTCTGCTAAGTACAGATTGGATATTGTTACTATAAGCCATTTAAACCAGTGACAACTACTTCCAAAGATGATTTTCCCAGAATTGTGATGCTATCAATATTAGCAATATTTTCCACCACAAATCTGCGCAGAAAACAATACCTTTTTACTTCAAGCTGTCATTTCATAAAACTACTCCAAACCTATTGCTTCTAAGATTTTCAATCTCATCAGGAAATTAGAGACATTTACCATAAGGGACGTAAAATCTAAACCTCCCGACTACTCTTGTGCACCGCCAAACATACAAATATAGTGTCGCGATCATGTTATAACTGGAGACCTTGCTATCGTAAACAATGAACATCTTTGAGAATTGTTAACTAATGACCCAAGGTATTGAAATGCTCAGTTCATTAACTGGAAGAAGTTCAGTTTACTAATAGATGCATTTGAGGACTTGGCAGAAAATGGGTTAAGCGCGAGTCAGATGAACCAAAACTGGACATTTTAACTGAAGGGATCAAAGCTGTTTGGTCATGCATTCATAAGGGCATTCATAAGCTACGCCGTACGATGAACTCATGGGTGTCTGATCCTTCCAAGAAACCAGAGGTTGTGGATTCTTTATCCTCTCTTCATGACAAATATGTTGTTGTTACAGCAGAAAAAGCCGCAAACAATATTTTTTCATATATTTATAAATCATTATTTGGAATGTCTTACTAAGGAACTTATAATTCACACAAAAGAGATGCAAAAGATACCAAAGGGACATTAAAACTCATAAGTCGAAAAAAAGGACAATGTCATGGCAAAAAAACCGAAAAACGATCAAAAGACATAGAAACAAAAAATTGAGCAACGCGAACACTACCAAACACAGAGGGTGATCTCAGGTGCTCCAGAAGGGTAGGCAGATCTTGCTCCACATGTGGCTTTCGTTTTGCTGCTCACGAAAGGACAATCCTGATGATCAGTGTTATTCAGTTTCCTCGAGGGAACGAGGACGTGATTGTGGTTACCACATGTGGAACATATCCGTCGTCATCTGTGAAACAGATATTCAATAACGGTCAACCAATTTATGATGGCGTTCGTAAAATTTCGAAGGGACGATTTCAACTTCATCACTTGGAACTCTCGCTTAAATAGCTTTCTTGAAAGCAGCAACCCTTTATCAAGGAAATCATGATAATAAATGCAAGCTCTGGAATATCGTTCCAACTTGGAGACATACACTCCATATGCAGGCGCCAATGGAATGTTTCTACTTGAAATTGAAAGTTCAGAATTAGGAAGCTGAAATCATCTTTTTTGTCGTAAAGTTTTGTTTTGCAATCAAGATATGAAGCAGACGTATCTGTATCTGTTGTTTCCTTTTTTCAAGTTGCATAGGATAGATGAGTTCAACATAGTCACCAAACTTTGTATTGTTTATTGAGAAGACATCATCTATATAGCGGTACGTGAATTTAAAGGATAATGCTAGCTTCTTTTAATTCGTCCTAAGAAGCTCGTGTATGAAGTCAGTCTCATATGAATAAAGAAACAAGTCGACAAGAAGATAAGAGCAGTTGGTTCCCATAGGAATGTCGATAGTTTGTTGCACAATACGTCCACCAAACTGGACAAATATGTTGTCAATCAAGAAACATCTTGAAAATGACATTTTCAGAGAATTTTTTGTTTGAATCCGAGTAATTTTTCACAAAGTACGATTTATCCCTCCCTTAGACAAGATACTTGTATCTGCGTTGGTCCTTCTATATTAACAAACCAGGACCAATTCTTCCAATTTGTCTTTTACCTTGGAATGGGGGACACTTTTGTTAAAGGACTTTTTTTATCCACGACATTTTTGTTGAGTGTGGTGGATTGATATTTTAGCCGTCAGTCGATATTCCAATAGGTACGTACTAGGCACAACTACTGGCCGACTTGTTTTTTATTTACTCATATGAAGCATATTTCATGCATAAACACAAGAAGGAAAAGGCATCTTGCAAAGTTATTTCATTATACTTTCAGATCGATGATCGATGTTCTGTTACTCAACAACCCATTCAATGATGGCTTATATATATATATATATATATATATATATATATATATATATATATATATATATATATTAGTGAACTTGAGATTAAGGATACTTTCGAAAATTGAAGGTCTGATTCATATCTTGATCTTTTGATCAATATTGACACAGATGGACGACTTCAAACTAGAATATATGACAAACGTGATGATTTCAACTTTCCAATTGTCAACGTCCCATTTCTCAGCAGTAACATACCCTCTTCTCCATCGTGTGGCGTTTACATATATCAGTTGATACGTTACGCTTGTGTATGTTCACACTATTCGGTGATGCAAGCACAGCATGAGATGCTTACGCTGTCGACGAACCCGGTCTCGCTGCTTTTTGAGTTTATGCTATTCCCTCAGTTTTTATTTGTTATCTTGACCTGTGTCTTTCAAATCGATTTTCGCGAGTTCAACATAGGTAAACTACTGCTGCCCTTATTTACAAGTAAAAGTCCATAATTTTGGAATCTGGAATAACAATGTTTACCCATTTCCGCATTTTCATGGACACTGTACGATAGAAGATAGAGAGACCCGGCCATAATTACTATAATCACCATACTAACATGAAACAGCAAAAAAGACCAGTTACAAAATCTACAAATGAGTCAATATGAATGAAATCATCAATCGACTCCTTAAATAAGTATACGACGTAAAGACCAATCATTCTGCGTTACGGTAACGTATTCTTCTGTGCGTGATTACCAACATTCTCCGGCCCATGAATCGTGAATATACAACTATTAAGATTCTCTGTGAAAATAATAAATATGAAATTAACTTTACAGCCCATCAATGAAATTAAAAAACCTTTCATAACAGTTTATAATACGGCGTCATATATTTATCTAACTTTTATAATGTTTAGTTTCTTTCTGTAATCAGAGTCCAGATTCGGTCCAATGCTACACGTTTCGCCTTGCGAACTGACGGTGTGTTCGAATAATTACCATGTTCAGTTGTTTTGCATGAAATAATATAATTTGTATTTCCAAAGGATAAAGTTTCTTTATTGGCCTTGGTGTTATTCCGCTTTTCGTCCTCAACAAGTCCATCTTGTCCAATAACGAGTTCTTTGATGATAGCTAGATGCCAATTTACTCTGAGAAATTCATCGCATATTTGAATATGAATAAAATATTGGCCACTAGAAGTAAAGTAAACATCAATCAAAGTAAAGGTAAAATTAAAAAAAACGCATTCCAACATAACACACTATAATGTACATCATGGTGTGCGGCTGGAAATGTGGCTCGATGGGGGCGTCAGTTTTTATTAGTGGAGGAATCCGGAGTGCCCGGATAGAACCACCAACCTTCGGCAGGAAAACTGACAAACCTTGTCAATTTAGATTAGAGTCGAACGCACAAAGTATTGAAATGCTCAGTTCATTAACTGTTTGTTATTTAACTGGAAATGTGTTAATTTAACAAAGGTGGTTCATTGCTTTTTTTTTATAGTTGTAGCTAAGATAAAAAGTGAACTTGAACAGCAACATGTTCAACCGGAGTTAACAACACCTAAATCTGGACATTTTGGGGAAGACAGAAATTCAGCTGACGATTTTATGTTTGAAAGGAGCAAAGATGAAGAGAACAAGCAATCTGGTAATATACATTGATTTGAAACCCCGTCTGCTAAATTAAGATGAATCTGTCCCATTCCTTTGTTTTTGGAATTTTTATCTGTGTATTGCCTTAAAAGATAGGTTTGTAGTGTTTTTTTAAGACGCTCAGAGAGGTAAAATTTGAATTTTAAAACATTTTATAATTTCTATATTTAAACTTACTAGTCACAACACATAGCACATTTTCCTCGCGAGAAACTGCTCGTAGGTAAAACAGCTTTTTGGGAAAGTGCAAGGTAGCAAAAAGTAACACTTTTAAATTAAGCGCGTTTTTTCTGTCGAAAAAATAGGTTGTCGCTGGTAAAAATAGCGCCGGCCACAAATTTCGGTTGCAGGTCCGATTTAAACATAGAAAATATTCAACAATTGAAAGAATCTTCAAAACACAAAGCAAGCATCAAAATAAGCATTACCTCGTATTAAGTTCAACATAATTATACAATTACAAAAAATGTATGACCTTCATAAAAAGTTAATATCCAAAATTATATAATCGAGAAAAGTTTATTTTCACTAGAGACCTAAAAAAATAATTTTGCTTATTTGCTTTTGGTGAAGGCCATATTTAGACCACAAAATCGCAATGTGCATGTTACACGAAATACCGGACATCCTTAGGTCATATTACGATTTCAAATTCGGTGTGATTCAACAAGATTTCATATTTTTGTTTTACCGGACCATTTGTTTAAAGACCCTCGAAAAAACCAAGACAATATAAAACACTGCATTTTAAGGGAAAAACAAGACAACTGTAATCCAATCTAGTATAGTATTCAGAATTAGATGAACAGTCATAAATAAAACTACTATACTAGCGAAAAAGCAGTTAATCGATCTGATCGCATGTTTTTGTCACAACTATTTTGCATATCGGTAGTTAAAATGCCAAGCGCACATTCATTAAGTTTCAAGCAAATGTAAATTGATTTTAATGGATTCCAATTAGTAATTGTGAAAAGGGTCGTCATTTCAAATATTAGTCATCTATAAATGAAGCCATTTTGCTTAAATAACTTAAATGATAGGAATAAGTAAACTAACCATCTATCAAAATACTACATTTTATGTTTACTTAATATATAGTGGATTGATATATTTAACCATGCTGTACATGATAACTCTCGAAACATTTATTCACATAGTCATGATATCAAACTCGTAAATCGCCGCTATATTCCTTTATGTGCTGATGCGGCGCAAAACAATCACCTATCAATCAATCAAATACGTAAATGGAAGGAAAATATTACGAAAAATATTTTTTCTGATAGTTTATTGCTAGTTAAACCTCCCACTCCCACTATAACAGTTGTTTATAGTTCCGTTGTATTGACAAATTGGATAAGCAACCCAACAGACATAATAGGTTAATGTGACAATTATTGGATTCCAGCAGCCAAAACTATTTAACAAACAACACAGCTGACTTCAAAATTAGAACTTGGTTCGATTGAATTGATATTTTAAAAAGGATTTATCATTTATTTTTCAAGATGTTTGGTTAATGTCCAACTTGTAATAGTCATTTGTTATTAAGTTAAACTCCTTTAGATGAATTCCTAGATATTCAGAGGCTAATTTAATGTCAACAGAATAATATACATTATGTGATACACATTAGATTAGAATATAAATTAAGGATATGAAGGGTACTATAAGACAGACATCCAACAAAAGCATTACTAAAAAGTCATTTAGAGGTTAAAAGTCTGTACACATGAATATTCCAAATAGACAGTAGATACCAAGTGGAGTAATTGAGGAAAAAGACTAGTTCATGAAAAAAAATAACGTCTACAAAACATTACATAGAAAACTAAATACTCAGCAACACGAACCCTACCGAAACCCGCGGATGATTGCAGGTGCTCGGAAAGGGTAGGCAAGTCCTGTGCCATATGGGACACCTGTAATGTGGCTAACGGCAGATACACATTTGGCGAAGCACATGCAACACCAAGCTATACAACAACTGCAAAGCATCAAGATGTCAGCATATTATATTTAAAAATAAACAGGTATCGTATTTGCCATGTTTTATTTATTTCATCATGATTATCAAAATGGGTAAGGATTTCACACGAGTAAACAAAACATAAATAAGTAAATTACATGTATGTGGGACCTTCAAAACAAAAAAGGCTAAAAAAAAACCAAATATTACAGATGAATTATTAATTATATAAAAACTGTTATCATACTTTTTACAGATAACTTCGACAGAGGTCACAAATTCAAAGACAAATCAGATTGTTACCAAAATGTTGAATTAAAAGGTATGAATTGACACACAGACACACACACATATGTATATAAATATTGTTATTTCTATTTAGTAATGCTCGATCAACTTTTAAGATACAATGGACAGTACTTTTGAGTTTTGGGGTATATATTTGCTACTTATGCACTGACATTCATTTTTATGGTTCAGTACAGAAATGTTACGTTACGAATAAAGAAAAATGGGGCAAGATAAATAAAAGTAGACAGTATTATTCCAATGTTCAAAAGTGTTTAAGAAATATATCTACTAGGACACAAATTCTGAAAAGTGTGATTGTACATATGGGTTTCTACCATTCGGTATAAGATAAGGGGACGAATGATTGCCAATGTCACAACAAATTCCAAATGAGAGGGTTTGTTTATACTGAATTCCTGAAACATTGCAACGATTTCATGATTTTTTTCCAAGAACAGAGGAATTTGAAAATATGGCTTTTCTTTTTGCCTTTTTAAAGGTTTGATACTTACTCTCCTCCATATAAATACTTTGACAAACCGTTCAGTAAAAGTGTACAATTAGTATCCTTTAGAATGTCACCTCTTTTGAGCTCACCTTGCACTATAGGTTTCATTTTGTTTCCATCGCTCAACACCTTTTTGATTAAACTTCTCTAAAACAACTTGATAAATAACCAACAAATTAGGACTGTTAGATATATCTGACGGCCCAGAATGTCAAGATATTACCTATTTCAATTTGAAAATACAAGTTAGTAAATTAATTTGAATTGTTGATTGACTCGAGCTCGTAAAGATTTTTTGCCTTTTGTTTTGTTACAAATTAGGCAATTTTAGTTTTTGTTTTATTTTGGCAATTGCATTGAAAAGTATAACATATACCAACAAACAGTAAACAGCAAAATTTAAACGAACAGAGCTACAAACAGGTAAAATTGTCAATCGATTCCTTATATAGACTTTAATTTCCTAATAAAAATGAAAGCTACAATGGAAAGAGAAATAAACAAATATGAAGACCGTAAACTCAAAGCAAACATGGATCAACAAGTCTTAACATGTCTAAAATTGTCAATCAACTAGTTTAAGGAATTGATGACCTTTAATTTATGAGAGAGAGAGAGTATTAATATCAATGGGGAAAATGGTCATATTTTCGCTCAGAGCTTTCAAGCTCTTTGATTATTCTTATCCTCAACAATATTTGCAAATTACAACAGTTCATTAATCTGACGCCTGTTAGGAAATAACTAATTCTTTTTACGATAGATAGTTTTGTAGAAGCTTTATACGATTTTTACGAAAGAACAGAAGAAGAACTTACGATTCGGACCGGAGATATTATCACTCTTTTGAAAGAAGAAGACGATGGATACATGACAGGAAGACTTGGTGATTGTGAGGGATTGTTTCCATCGTCGTTCGTTAAACCATATGAGAAAACAAAACAAGGTGCAAAGATAACAATTTTAAATGTTTAAATTTCAAACTAAAATAAGACTTCTTGCAAGCAAAGAAAATAAAAGCAAGAGCAACTGAATCCTAATAGATGCATAAAAGTCTATAGAAACAAAATAAAAATAGGGCAAAATCAATCTTCTTCTATTTTTGGTAAAATTGTGTATTTTGCAGTCACGGATAGCCATAGAAATTAGCAAATAAATAGAAACACTCGTATATGAAAATTGCAGTTTAATAAGACTGAAACGATCTGTTACTTAATATAGAAATAAGAAGATGTGGTATAATTGCCAATGAGACAACTCTCCACAAGAGACCAAATGACAGAAATTAACAACTATAGGTCATCGTACGGCCTTCAACAATGAGTAAAACCCTAACCGCATAGTCAGCCATAAAAGGCCCCGAAATGACAAATGTAAAACAATTCAAACGAGAAAACTAACGGCCTGATTTATGTACAAAATAATGAACGAAAAACAAATATGATATACAGCAACAAACAACAACCACTGAATTACAGGCTCCTGACTTGGGACAGGCACAAACAGAATGTGGCAGGGTAAAACTAGTTTGAAGGCGCGCATACCCTCCCCCTAACCTGGGACAGTGGTGTAACAGTACAACATAAGAACAAACTATAAAAAGCAATTGAAAAGGGCTTAACTCTTTGGCACTGTGGCAGTGTACTTATACATCCAAACAACAATAAGACACTAAGTACAGATCTGAGAGTACCTGCAGTTACTATCAGCTAGTTCAAAGCCAAAAAGAACTAATAAAAAAATCATGCATCTAAGATTAAAATATCAATCAGTACACATCCAACATCCAATGGATTTAGTGTAAAGACGTCAATGTACTTCAATGAGACGGCATTCTAACGACAAAGGAATCTCAAAACTTAGAAATGTCAAAATATCGTATTTTTAACATTGAATAATAATTTAAATTATTTTATGGGACACTTCGTTTTGAATTTTTCTTGAAGTTCGGTATTTTTGTTATTTTATCTTTTAGAATAATATGCATAAAACTTATTAACCTCCAATTATATTTAAGTAGTAAATGCATTTGAGCGAGATTTTTTAAAACATTATTCTCATACGGAAAATAAATCGGTCAATATATATCTGAACACTTCATTTACGAGTACTAGTATTTTCTGACTTTGGACTATGAATCTATTGATTGGTTTAAATACTTTTGATAAATTATTAAATTATTTCAAATCTTTTTTTTTACTAACAAAAACTGAGGCTCGATATGAAGTAGTCAATTTTGAATTGAGCTGTTGCAGATAAAATTAAAGGTGTTGTGGCTGATTGTGTCAAATGTATACACACCAAAAACCATGTTCACAACACTAGATACATTTTCTTGTATACCAGTGATTAAAAAAGCTTAAAATAGGCTTATCATTTGGGAAAAAACGCCAAAGGCTCATTTTGTCTACATAAAACTCAATAGGGCGCTCGAATAAAAATATTTGAACCAATATACATAAAAACAATTTTAAGACAATGTATTAGGTTACATCAAATGCAAGAAAAATCATCCAAATTTATTTAAGTAATAACACAAAGCCAAATTATCTAAAAATGCTATAGAGTTTGGTGCAAAGTTTTGCACACATTTATATTCCATTTACTAGAAGTTGATGCCTGACAAAACATACAAATACAAAATAGGCATCATAATGACTTATATCATATGTGATTCCTTTTTTTGTAGAACTAAAGGATTACATGTTTATAGAAATATGTTCTCCTTGGTCTTTTTTTCCGACCGGCATATATACCTAGTAAAACCCTTTACTATTCTGTGTTATAAAACAGAAAGTAAAACTGTTAAGAGCATTTAGTCTGAAAATAAACACGATTCTGGCGTCAACATATTTGGCGATAATGACATGACTTTGGGCCATGGTTGACATTAGGTCGATTCTTGCCGGGAGTGTTTAGAATGTGTGATCGCATCATTTTGTCAATTTATATATTTTTCTAAATCGGCCTTATCTAGATAGTGGTTCCTTAGTGTATGGCCCCACAAGATAAAACGTACACCCAAATTCTAAAAGCTATTCATTTTGCTCAGCTTGTAACGTAATCATACCTGAGACAAATCAAAGTTAATTATAATTTCCGACTCTTTTTTTGTCATCATTTTTGTGCACAAAATGCCAATACCAAAAAAAAGCTATTAAATCTAAAAGTCCTATATGTAATAATAAATTTGAATATTTTTAATAAAAAATACGCTTCTTTGGACGCCAAGTCATATTGTCGTAAATAAATATATGACTTTTGCGATGGTTTGACAAGTCATATTGTCATAAATAAATGTACAATTCATTTAATAGTACTCAGTGTAAAAAAAAATTACAGAATATATTTCAAAATCTAAAAATATGGAATCAGCTGAAAATGATTTTAATTTTTACCACGTGGTCTTAGTGTTGAATTCTCTATGCAAATAAGTCATCTGTTTCAAATTAAAGTTTTATAGTAATGCAGGACTTTATCTCTGTTCTATAAAAGCAGCAACCATAGAACAAAACAAGCGGAAGATAACAAGTCGAGATTAACTGACAACAACATGGCAAAACAAGAAAGACGATTTAAAGACGAGCTAGTCCACAAAGTATTTGAATAAGCTTTCGTCGCGATAAAGCCTTTTTGATCTAACACTGCGTCAAAACAAACATCAACACATCAACCAAAAATATAAAATCAGTATCGTTATTTTTATATTGTGAAACTTGTTTAATTTCTTTCTGTCTTTTTATGCATTTCCCGTATTTGAAAAGGTTATAAAATCTTCTTTTTGTTTGAATGAAGGATTTAAAAATAATTGTGATGCAGATACATAGATAAATATTTTGATGAATAAAGAATATGAACAGACCTTTGCAAATACAATGAAAATTATATCAAAAATTTGTAGTTTGTGAGCTATTGAAATTTGATCTACATAAGCTTAATATTCTACATTTGCATGGATATTTTTTTATTGTTTTGTTTGGATAAATATAGTGATTTAATACCGGTTGCTTTCTCAAGTTCATTTGTTAAATAAATTATAGGAAGCATTATTTCATAGAATGATATATTTTAGAAAAAAGACTACGCATAATTGAAAGAATAGCTGTTCACAGTAACGTTGGCAATATCTTGGACTTAGAGGTTGGCTGTGAAGTTTGCTTAATCAACAAAGCTGGTGATTGGTACTGGGTTGAGTATAGAGAAAAAGAAGGATGGATTCCGGTTAATTCTGCTGATTTTATATCCAATAGACCTAAGGAAGGTACACTTTTCGTAGTATTGGTCAATATTAGGAATAACAATAAGAGAATCTTTTAAATATGGTTATTTCTTAATATTTAGTGAAACTATATCCAGGTATAATTTTTCATATTTCATGAATCCATCTCAAAACTACAAACGTCATACAAGATTTCTTCTTGTTTATGCAATCTTACAGAACATTTCCTGCTTTTTATTGTATGCACTTTATTTTTATTATTCCATTTGATTAAGTATACTTTCTTACGGGATTCAAAAAAGATACGGAATATACCAAGGGGACATCCAAAACTCATTATTAGAAGAAAAACTGACAATGCCATGGAAAAAAAAAATAACGAAAAGACGAAAAAGTCAACAAAACACAACACAGAAAACTAAAGATTAAGTAACAGTTTGAAAGGTCATGTCTTTAAAACGTTTGATATTTCAAATGTTTCATTCGTTTATACATTTGTATGATGTTTACATAATTGTGTTACTACAAGTCGACTAAATTGATTAACAGTGAGTTTTCAAATAGAACAGGCAATACTAATGTCATTGCACACTACACTGTAGTGAGAGTGGTCAGATGACTCAAATATTCCAAAAAAGAGTCAGTGGTACTTTTTTTTTACTTGACGGACTAGTTTTTGACAGACCTCTAAAATAAATGTAAGATTCTTTTCTTTGATCATATATTTTAAAATGTAAACAAATAATCTAGACATAAGGTTGCTTAAGATATTTAATATATCATTTTTTTTCATGTGGAGACTGTATGTTATCATTTAAAAATTATTTAGTTTTCCCTTTTTGTGCTTTTTGTGCATCACCCTTCGTGCGAATTTACACGCGCGAATTACACAATAGGTAAATTTACAGATTATACGACTATTTTAGTATCTATAAATATAAGACTACTAAACATATCGTTAGTGAATTGTGACACAGACATATCGTACCAATCAATCAATTTGTAGTAGTAACCGTGAAACTTATGGGGTGTTGATTTTAGTCGTTCTCTCTCATAAATCTGATGGAGCAGTTTTTGTGCAAAGATCACACCCTGCTAATGCAGTAATTATAGTACGGACATGCTCGAGCGTATAGTATCATTGGAAATGTGTAAACGATTGGGTAGAGGGTATGTAACAGCTGAAAAGTTCACGATTGGAAGTTGTGTTCACGTTTGTCATAGATTATAGTTTAAAATGGTTCATCTGTCCAGGAAAAGATCAAGTAAAGCTTTGTATGAATTCTACTTCATAGGAATACAAAAACAAGACGGCCTGTAGAGATACGCAATTGGTGACCATTGGAATACCGATTGTCTGTTGAATATCAATTCACAGAACTCAATAAATACGTTGTCGATCAAAAACACAAGCATTTGATGATACTCTCTCGGTTTACTTGCTTTTGAAATCAGTGCATTCCTTCACAAAATACGATTGTTCATCACCTAAAACAAGAAAGGAGTAAGTTCACGAGATGTTAAAATTGACCTTAAGATTTGGATGATTTTGATGATCAGGCAAAAATACTATATATTTCACTTAGAAATAGTTGTGATATTACTATAAATACATAACTTCATTTTGGCACATCATCTTAAAAAAATGACGAAGTATTGACTCCTTGTGTATGCATTATTTGTGTTGTAACGTCAGTTTTGGTCAATTCAATAATTATTCACAGTTTTTATGATAATTTACTTTACCGGCACCCATGATATAGAAAGATTTTGTGTCTAGGAATTGAATATTATCATTTACAACTTTTGGTTACAGAAAATTTTGGATCCTAGGTTGCGGCCAAGGGTTTCCTCAAGCTTTTAGGTCCGACAAATGCACAAAATTTGCGTATTTTGACAATATATCCAAAATGTGCTGATTTTGAAGTCAAGAATGTACTCTTATGAAGAGATTTATTCTAACAAAGAAGTAAGGCTTTTGAAATAGATCCATATAAGAACCAAATTATGGCCATTTTGAAGTTTCATGATAATGTTGAAATTTAAGGCCATATTAGGCCTTATGTAAACCATGTCCTTTGCATCTACGAACCACATTTTTTCAGAGGAAGCTCTGTTTAACAAGATTTGTATTCGATCTTTCAACCGAGCAGGGATAATACTTTTGTAAACCGTGGAGAAATAAAAAAAGGTTGATTTTACTGCAAAATTGTGATTTAAGATTTTTGCAGTAGATCTTTTAAATATTTAAGTATCCACATCTGATTAACATTCCTGTATATGCAGAAGGAGACGCTTATCCTGTCTCGCTCCTTTTGTGGTCAATGTGATTCCCTCAGCTTGTTTTGTCTCTTTCTAATAGACAGGTTTTTCCAATTATCTGCCTTAGTTTGTGACGCGACTCCTAGACGTCGTTGTAGTACGATCGCCATTACAACCGTGAAAAAAATGTAAACAAGATATACATCTATTTCCCAGACCGCATATATTAACGTAAACACAAGAATGTGAAGCGTACTTGACCTCGGCAAAATTTCAAAGTAAATAATAAAGTAATTAGATAAGGAATGGACATTAAAATTATAAGTGTATTGCAGGCCAGGTGTCGTGTCCTTAAAATATAACTAATTTTATTTGATACGTTAGAACCGGGACATAATATTTGCGAATACGAATCCCAGGTTACATATCGATTATAATCATTTGGCAATCATAATATTGATTATTATAACCCGTACATAAATAAAAATAAATTGTCTTGCGGGTCGAATGTGATATATCAGAAAAACCAGGTGCAATTTTATCAAACTCATAGAAATTTCTGTAGTCATGCAAAACCTATAATGAGGCAGTCCTAAAATTCAACAATCTTCTAACCCGACGGTCCTTTATTCGACAGCCCGTTTTCTCCGGCGCGCGGTTACTTACATCTCTCGAAAAAATTATACCTATAGACATGTACCGTTTGATGATAAACTTTTTTTCACAGAAACGATATTTTTGCTTTTGGTTCAACTCACGTATACTGCTCAAAATTTAGTGACGTTTTCGTATCACTTTTTTCTCCGCGTGAATTGCGCTATATGCTATCAGTGCGTCGGGCCATTTGTAGACTTAACTTTGCAATTTAATTGGGCCGAAGAAGTTTTGAACTTTCACGGCCCATGTTATCATATAGTTAGTAGGTGTTCGATTCCAATTTCTTTTGTAGAAAAATTGCTTGACATGAAACTACTAGTATGCATAGCCTATAACATCATGCTCCGGCCCGTGCTGAAAATAAATGAATGTCATTAAACCACAAAAGACGCAAACGTGTAAATTAAAAGCAATGCTTAGAATTATGTTTTAAAAGCGTCATTTAGTGTTTTGCCAATTTCCCCCTCCCCACCACCCCAAAACAGAGGTCTCGTATATTTTCATCCTGAATCTGTATTAGACTCCTTTATGAGTCCCCGATATATATAATACATTGAAATACAGAATTACAGTATTACATTAGGGATGTATATTGGACCATCCGACTAAAGTGAATATATACTTTTTATATAGATTAGACCGTTGGTTTTCCCGTTTGAATGGTCTTAAGTAATTTAAACCCGCGGCCCCCTTTCAAAATCCTGGATCCATCTAATGTGTAGATCTTCTATACAAACAGAGACAGATGCACTGTAGTCATCGGATTAATTTTCATAGATAATTTCGTTTGACAACGTGTCAACATTCGTCTGCCAGTGTAATTTTACTTTCATACAAAGTTTTATTAAAAAAAAAGGATTGTGTGCAGTCGGCACAACTTGTATAGTTCACATATTTTATTTATTGATTTTTTTTTGCACATCTGAAATTTTTTACAATTATTTGGACAAATATTAACTGCACAAGAAATGCCTCCACCTTTTTTTATAACTTTCGGCAGTATCCATAGTGAAATAAATAAGAAAATGAAGGAAATACAAATGTAAACAGAAAATCGATAATGTTTTGATCAATACACGTGCGTTATTTTTCACGGTTGTAATGGCGGATCGGTCACGTGAGAGGTTAATGGATGCGCCCATGTTTTCTAGGTCAATTATAGATAAACCCGTCTATAGATAAGAATATTTGAACATCAGTAGACTACTGTCGCCTTAACATATATGCTTATTTATTTCCAAATTATATATGGAACTACGAGATATTTTTGCTATCTGTTAGTAGTCGTGTTACTTCTTTAAAATATGTTGACAATTTATATCAAGTGATTAGGCATCACGCAATAACGTTCAACGTTATTTCTTGTTGAATAGATGCGTTCAACATAGTTATCAACTTTGGATTATTCAGTGCGAGACCGTCATCTTTAGAGCGGAACGGGAACTTAAAGGATAATGCTAGCTTCTTTTCATTCTTTTTATTGAAAAACACGTCCTCACAAACTAAAAAATATGTTGTCAATCACGAAATCAATTGATTTTCATTTCTCTGCTACTTGCAAACGTATTTTGGGGATAAAATCAGGAAAATGGCAAAAATGGTTTCATATTACTAAAAACCAAATATAAGGTACACGTGAAATAATGAGTCATCACAAGATAGTTGGTGTGTTTGAATACAAACAAAAAATCCTCGAACTACAACACATGTTTACATTTAAAGTGTACACTTCTTACCCGTAATTTTGTATTCGTTTACTCATCCTAATGTGAAAGTCATGAACCTTATTTCATTTATTCATATACAAGAAAAAAGAAAAGTGGAGCACATCGTTCATTGACACACACATTTCAGATTTCTGCTAAAAACACTTGACGGCATATTTAGTAGTTTTTTTTAAATAATTTTTTACAAAAAATAATGTGTATGTGTCATCTAAAGTAATTAATCTTCAACCTCTGAAAATTTCTAGTCTGTCCACGAAATATTTTGATAGAAAAATAAAGGCAACAGTAGTATACCGCTGTTCAATAGTCATAATTCGATAAAGCGAAAACTAATCTGGGTAACAAACTAAAACCGAGGGAAACACATCAACTATAAGAGGAAAACAACGGCACAACAGAAACACTGAACTGCAACAAAAGCAAACACCAACATACATAGAAACGGACTGTTTGATAACAACTGCCATATTCCTGACTTGTTACAGAAAAATAATCGTGGGTTGAACCTGTTTTTATGACTAGCCAAACTCCCGCTTATTTTGCAATGTTAAAAATACAGTTAAAATGGCATGTCTTATCTAACTTTCGAAAATTCGCTTAAATTCGAAACGTTCAGCGAAAGGATTAAAATATCAAAACTATATTATGATGCAATGTATATAAATTTGTCGGATTTACCGAGCTAAATTGTAAGGGCATTATACCTACAATTATGTCAATTATATGATTGAAAAATTAGAACTTATAACGGGGTGATAATTTTTAGAAGTAGAAGCCTGACTGTAGATGTACCAATAAATGAAACAATGTTGCATTTGCAAAACGAAGTTGAACAAGATTATACAAGAAACTGCAAATCAAAGTTATGTTATATTAATGGACTGGTAAAAAGGGGAAAAAGGTCTTCATAAACATAAATTTACATTCTCTGTTCCGGTGTTCTTATCCTTGCAGAAAATAAAAAGCACTTCTATAATTAACAGAATAAAAGCAAACGCTTCTTTGTGCAACTGATATCAATAAACTACTAAAGATGTTTAAGAGTATCTATCGTTGACTTACCATTTGCACATTTCTGTATTTTCTTTCAGTTGAGTATGTGGAAGCACAATACGATAATGAAATCGATGGAGATGACATTCTGACATTTGTGAAAGGAGATATTATTACAGTAACTGATAAAAGAAGTGATGGCTTCATGAATGGACGAATTGGTACCCTTGAAGGAAAATTCCCTGCGAATTTAGTAAAGCCGTTTCACAACAATCCAGGTATGATCAACTGTTAAAAGAAAATATTGAAATAGTCATGTCATTAAAGTAATAAATACTAGTAAGTGAATAGATATAAAAAAAAAAAATTGACACAAATTCAGTTATTCAATAAGCTTCTTGACCGCGGTAATTCATAAATCAATATTTGGATACGTTATGAACATGGAATATTATGGGAGCAATTAAACCGTGTTTAACGATTTCAGATTGCTACCCTGCAAATCTGTAACAAGTTATAAAATCAGATCATCTGTCATATGACTGATGGTAAACGTCATTCCGTTCAAACTTTAACAAAGGATATCTAGCAGCCAAACATTTTGAACAAGACACAGTGGTCTTTTTGCTGTTGTAAGCTCTAAATTCCCGAAGCTAACGAGTTGTGAATACATTAAAAACGATTACTTTGAAAAGATAAAGATCTCTTAAAATACCGGATGCAGCATAATGCAGTCTAAATACCGTCATTTTTAAGAGTAATATATGGCAGAATAAGATCCTCATTTTAGCAGGGGAAGTACCTTTGGCTTGTTTTCACTCACTAGGATCAATCTTTTGTTTAATGTCTAATAATGATTATGTGCTTTCTGTAATTAAAGAGTACAATACTTTCTTGTATATTCTTGTTTTGTATATGTTTATTTGAATCTTAATCCAAACCTCGACTTAAGAAAGCAATTATTGATCGTCATGAATAAGTAATTATGTGTTTATAGCATAACTTTTATAGTCGAGGCGATTTAGAGTTTGGCATAATACATAACAAAATTCCGGAACCGCAATATTTTTGTCGTCTGCAATGATATTAAAAATATTTTGAAGAACTAGATTGCTACACCGAAGCGAAATGTCCCCGACGCTGTTTAAGAGGCAAATAATAGTATGTCACAAGGTGTCATTGTGGTACAATAGTAAATCATTTCCAAACTCTAAACTGCAATGACTCCAATGACTCCCGTAAAAATAGTTAAACCAAAGTGACAGTATAATATGGTCCGCTATATATGAATGCTAATATCTTATCAAGTATGAGAGCTTTTTGTCAAATTAAAGATCCAAAACCTCCGTAAAAATTTTCGAATCGCAATGGCTGTACAATGTAGTCAAATACACATGATGGAAACAACACTACCTAGTATGGGAACTTTCTGTCAAAAAGTATAATTGTTACAATACACCAATAATAGTGTAAAAGTCCATATCGGACATATAATGGTAAATTCAAAATGATAGATTCAATATGGTGGTACAATATGGTCAACTATACATGATGGCAAACAGTCGTTCCAAGTACTAAATAACCATGGGTTGTAAAAAATCTAAAATACTAATGAAAATTGATAAAATAGTATGGTAAATTTTAAGATTGTTTCAATGCATTTAGATTGCCGCCTTGGTATCTTTTCTCTCTTTTTAAAACTTTGTAAATACCCGGAAAACAGTAATGTCTATCTTCTTATTATTATATAAGTGTTTGTCAAAAGTACAGACAAATAGTTGTGCAAGAAATTTATATAATTTATAATAGAAATGCACCAGTTCACCCTTGACTATAATGACAAAAGATTGATTCAACAAAAAAGAGGTAAAGCACTCCAAAAAAATGATTGCATAGTTAAACAGAAAAAAAACATCAACCACAAGCACTTTTAATATTCGAAAAATTATGCTCACATGCAAACACAAAAATTACCAAATAAAGTATGGGCCAGACTTGGTACATGCACCAAATATAGTGGGATCGTTACCACAACCACATCCTCCATTCCTCGAATGTAACCTACCGAATTGAACTTATCACCGAGTTTGTACTTGCATGAGCAATACAACGGGTGCCACATGTGAAGCAAGATATGTTTGATACCCTTCCGGAGCACATGAGATCACCCCCGGTTTTAGATGGGTTTGTGTTGCTGTGTCTTTGGTTTTCTATGTTGTGTTTTTTATACTATTGTTAGTCATTTATTTGTTTTTAGCTTTTTGTCATGGCCGTGTCAGTTTCAATGTCCAAGTGGTATCTTTTGCCTCTCTTTTACATAAGAAGAAATCCCATTATTATTTTTCTAGACCATATGTCAGGAGAGAACCCTACTACAGGATGCAGACAAAAATATTGGTTGAATACTGTCGTAAAAAATAACAAAACACAAAAATCCCAAACATTAGATTTCAAAAGTATTATATTTTAAGTGTAATCCGCATTATTTATAAGAGGCCAAAATTTTTTTAAGTAAGAGTAAGTATGCTACAGCTTAAGTTATTGCTGCTCAATAATGTCAGAACTAGAAATAAATCATTATTAATGTTTTAGTTTTGTTTATGGACATAAGATGTTGAAATATTCGAAACAATTAGTTTGTTTTACCCACATGAAAAAGTTACAGTTTATTTATAAAATTTTTATGACGACTTTTTAAAGTCATTTTTCCATAAAGTCTCACCTAAATACACTTTTCGAAAATGAACATTGTCATTGATATGGTCATAATTATAATTTAACTGGTCACATAAAGTTGAGATTTTTGGAAATACTAAGGATTTCCTACCACAGAAATGCTGAGGAGTCTTCAATGCTCTTCAACTTCGTTCTTTATTTTACTATTTTTACTTTTCGATTCGAGCGTCACTGATGAGTCTCTTGTAGACGAAACGCGCGTCTGGTATACAAAAAAAAAGTCTGTTAAAAGGTTATACAATATAATAACTTTTTTTTTTTTTAGAACGGTCTTTGCTTGTTGTCACAGCACCTGAATGTTATTATGATGACATATTAAGAGTACCACCTGGAAAGATAGTTACATTAAAAAATAAATATTCAGAACACTTTTGGGTGGAATTTGAAGGAAAAGAAGGATGGATTCAAGTGGGGTGTGTGGATTTTGTAACAAGGGATGAAGGTATGAATAGTGGATAGATAACACAAAAATTAAAGGTCGAAAAATGAAAATAAACGAAACCTTTGATAAATGAAAATAACACGTTATAAACTGTTGCATGCCAAGCGCTTTTCTAATTGAACCTTCTTTAAGAACACTCAAATCCAAAATGCAGACAATAAACGGAAAACCATGTTAGGGGAACACTACATAAAAATGGCAAGATTTAATTTCAATTATCCGGAAAGAGATACATAATACCGTTCTCATTAAATCATATAAACTATTGCTTTTACTAGGCCTCCTTTTAATTAATGGGGTCCCTGTACTTTAGGATTATGGTTCAGTCTAAGATTGGGGTGAACATTTAAGGCTATTGTTAGAATAAGTTATGGGTTAGGATTTAATTCGTAGGTTTTGTTAAGTATATTATACGCATCTTACGTATACAATTTTAAGCCTGGTATCCATGATGAGTTTATATACAACCACTGGGTTGATGCCACTACTGGTTGAGGTTTCCTCCCCGAGGGTATCACCAATTCAATAGTCAGCACTTCTGTGTTGACATGAATTATCATTGATTTGTTCATAATTATAAATTGAGTGTTTACAAAACTTGGAATATTTCGAAAAACTAAGGATTTTCTAACCAAGGAATAATTTACCTTAGCTGTCTTTGGCAAGACATTTTTTGAATTTTTGGTCATTTATACTCTTCAAATTCGTACTTTATTTGACCTTTTTAAGTTATTGATTCGAGCGTCACTGACGAGTCTTTTGTAGATTAAACGAGCGTCTGGCGCACACCATTTTAAGTTTGGTATCTATGATGAGTTTATCTATATGGGAAGCTACTTAATGATCACAAACTTTTTCGTTGTATTTAGTTGACACTATCCGATGTAAATAGCGTATCTAAAAATTGAAACGTACAAACAGTTATATTTGCATTAAGTAACATCGTGTCCAAATTAACCAATTGAAAAAAGGTTCTATTTTCCGCCAAAACATAATAAAAACCTCTAAGAAATGCAGTAAATTGTGTCCACATGTAATTTTTAAGAAATTAATTTCTCCAAAACTTTTCAAGGTTCCTTATATGTACTGATGTTGGAAATAATATAAGTATAAATATAATAAAATATAAAAGACTAAATTAGAAGATAGGGTATGAATTCTTAGATCAATTGTAAATCGTTTACTAGTTAATCTATTTTAGATGTTGGTTTGAAATTATCTTTTTTAACAAGGAATGAATTAGTCATGTTCAGTCATTCAGTACATTTCACACCTATACACTGCCGCTTTTAATTAGTTGTACGAATACGAGTCTATTAAGATCTTTTCCGAGTACTTATAGTGATCAGTTGTTTAGTGACTTCGCGAAACGAGATGCATTTCGTCCAGAAAACAACTTTTATTACAAGTTCACTGTTTTTCTATTATGAATCAAATCGTATTCCCTGTATGTGAATACTGCAATCTGCTATCAATATGATATTAGATAAAAGATGACAATTTAGACTTGCTCTCATTCTAACTTAATCAAACTTTATTAATGACATTTTTCATTTTTAGACAAAGTAAATGGTAAACAAAATGTTTGCTTCTTTTTTCATGTGTATTGTAAATTATCATTTCCTTGATGGAGTTAGTAATTTCCGCAAGCTTTTTGTGACGTAATCATATCTGATGTGGTAAATATGTGAATGTTTGCAGTGATTTTCTTTTACAGAAGGGATATTCATTTCATAAATTTGTCAATCTCTTTCTTTAACTAAGTGTTTATGCTGGTTTTTTTTTTTTTTACATAAATTATTTCGGACGAGTCGTGTGTTGAAAGTTTTGGTCTGTTGAAATTTCCAATATCTTTAGAAATTCCTGTATGTATTATTCATATAGACATATGGAGTTTTCTTTAGTGAAGCAACCTGCAGGAATAAATAAAAATTTATTAGTTAAATCTGCTTTTGACGATAACATTATTCGTAAAGCCAAAATAAAAAAAGAAGAAGGACTTGTCTTTAAAAATGTTCTTTGTGATTTTATAGGATTATCGGTAAAGGCTATTCCTTAGATATGTTTTTCATTCCTAGCGTTTAGACGATTGGGATACAATTCGCTTTAAATAGCTAGAAACAAGAAAAATCGCCCTGCTGTTTTTCACCTGTTATACCACATATTCCAATTCATATATTAATCCAATCGCTTGCTTACATGCGTTGAGAAACTTTGAAACCTCATCAGTTGGTGTCCGTTTTCAGGTGTAATACCACCATTGATTTTCCCCTATTAGTCTTTGTTAAATTTGCACTTTTCAAAACATTGTGCAGAATATATCTTTGTTTCAAATAAAGAAATACTTGGCATGAGTAAATTTTTATCCTGTCCAGTACTATAGAAAAAATTTCACATAACATTTCATTGCATATAAGAAAATAACCATCACTGGAAGTTAACCAATCAAATTTTCCCCCTTTTTTAACCTGTGTACAAGCTTTAGTAACCATGTAACCTCAAGTTTCCAAAATATTTTATAGAAACCCCAAATAAAAAAATAATGGTGCTTTGAAATACCCAAGATATATGTTTATGACCTAGAAATGTTTTACTGCAATGAAATGTAGGATCAATTACCTACAACTGTCAAATTCAAGGGAATATTTTTTAGACCTATTTTCGTATGCAACCGGATGTGACGTACTATGATTTGGTGGTATTACACCTAAAGAAGACTTTTTTGTTAAATAAACTGAATGTGACTTTTTTCCTTTGTAATACGGATTATTTCAAGCATTCCTGTCAAGTTTTGTCATAATCAGTTCAATAATTTGAGAAAAATCTAGTATAATGTTAGACGACATCTACAGCGATTCGAGCAAAATTTCTTCTAAAAATCCAAACCCAGCCGCATCATGATAGAATATAGTGTGGACCAATAAATGATCAAATATTTATCTCATCTGCCTACAAACAGTTGAATATGATACAAAAGATGACTTTAGGATGATAAATAGTACTAATGGACCTCTTTGTCTTCCTTATAAGGTCTCTTTTGGTCCATTTATACCTCTCATTTCCTCAAAATTTCTACTTTTTAGGCCAATAAATAAAAATTCTGGGGTAACTTTCACTCATTTATGATAGAAATGTTATACTAAATGATTAAGTGAAGTATTCAAGCTGAATGAACTATCCGTATAAAAGTTTGCTGTCTCCAAGGAGGTTTCAATAAGTCCTTACGTAAAACTTAAATTTACGCCGCGTCCCAGAGAGGGACATAAAAAGCTTCTCTTTTGGTGAATAACTTGTTGTTACTGCTTTAAAAATAATTTCATTTACTTAAAACTATATATTTATTTAAGTATTTCCTAGGAAAAAATTTCTAGTATAGCAGAATATAATAAATAAGGAGAAAAAGCTCACCCAAACTCTAAGTATGGCTTGTTCTGTCAACTAATATTCATGGTAAAGTCCTATTTCAAGGAAATTTTCTTATAAAATGTGTTTTGGAGACTCAATCCACTCAGAATATTTCATTATTTGTAATATTTCACTTAAATAGCAAGAAATGTTAACACATGAGAGTACTCACAAGGTCAAAAATGCATGTACAGCTTCCCATATTAGGTGTAATACCACCATTGATTTTCCCCTATTAGTCTTTGTTAAATTTGCACTTTTCAAAACATTGTGCAGAATATATCTTTGTTTCAAATAAAGAAATACTTGGCATGAGTAAAGTTTTATCCTGTCCAGTACTATAGAAAAAATTTCACATAACATTTCATTGCATATAAGAAAATAACCATCACTGGAAGTTAACCAATCAAATTTTCCCCCTTTTTTAACCTGTGTACAAGCTTTAGTAACCATGTAACCTCAAGTTTCCAAAATATTTTATAGAAACCCAAAATAAAAAAATAATGGTGCTTTGAAATACCCAAGATATATGTTTATGACCCAGAAATGTTTTACTGCAATGAAATGTAGGATCAATTACCTACAACTGTCAAATTCAAGGGAATATTTTTTTAGACCTATTTTCGTATGCAACCGGATGTGACGTACTATGATTTGGTGGTATTACACCTTCAGGTCGCACAATTTTATCTCATTTTGAGAATTTTGTGTTAATGCAAGCTGTTTAATAGTCTGTTGAACTCAGGACAAGTATATAAACTTTTTAGTCACCAAACTATTGTTGACAAAACGGTCGTTTAAAACTTGAACTCATTTACTAGTGAAGAATTGGCTGTTTTTTCATCTTTTGAAAAAATAAAACAAACACATTTCTATTCTATATCATTTCTTTTAGATTCACCACCACCACTGCCGCCTCGTGACGATCACAACAGAGTTGAGATGCGGAAAAGCCAAGGTTAAACATAAATTTATATGTGTTACCTAGAATTATTTTTAATCAATTACATCGAATATTGAATACATTGAATAGTTACTACCATCATTAGAAACGAAGAAAAGAAAAAGAATAAGTAAAATATCAATTAAAAGATCGTAATACATTACAATACAAGACGGTCACCAAATATTACTGTGTTAACATGAATATAAAAGCGTTTTACGCTAGCATCAAATCAAATTTGCCTTTTAAAACTTATATTTTATTGCAAAAAAAATATATATGAGAGAATTGGTTAGTTTAAAAACGCATGCAATTTGCAATATCGATCAAAAGCAGTGTTTTTCTTATTATCCGATCAAAAATAAACAGCATGGCATAATATCTGAATCGTAGTGATGAGTTGAATATCAGGTATCGTATCAATCTAATTTTAGACGTTTCTATTCGTAGATGTTGGACCGCCACTTTCACCAGAACCATCAAAAGGTCGACAAGATAATGAAATTGGTATGTTCCTCAATATTGTTTATGTCACATGATCCTTTTAATCTAACTTTCCATAAGTGTCACTGTAAACTTTGTTGCTCACTTTGGGTTCGTTGCATATTTCATAATTGATTTTTAACATATTTCATTCATTGGAATTTCATAAGGATTAAGCAACTTGTAGCCTCAAAAAGCTCTCTCCACATTACATGTACAATATATATATCACAATTTCACAATTTGTTCATATGTTGTGCTGTTACACCACTGTCTCAAGGTTAGGGAAGGGTTGAGCACCCGCTAACATGTTTAATCCCGCCACATTCTATATGTGACTGTCCGAAGTCAGGAACCTGTAATTTAGTGGTTGTCGTTTTTTGCTGAAATCATATTTGTATTTCGTTCATTGTTTTTTTTACATAAATCAGGCCTTTAGTTTTCTCGTTTGAATTGTTTAACATTTGTCATTTCGAGGCCTTTAATGGCTGACTATGCGGTATGAGATTTGCTCATTGTTGAAAGCCGTACGGTGACCTATAGTTGTTAACTTCCTTACTTTCTAATTGAATAACTGTACAAATGACTACTTCTGGTTTAAAGAATGTCACTTCCGGTTAACCTTTTTAAAGGTCATATGCTTCCAATTCAATGCAAAAGGCCTCATAATTTATAATGAACCAGTATGAATTCTTAGCAAAGGTCATAATCTAGAACGTCAAATTTACCTTTTACCTTGACCACAATTCCAAGGTCATAGGTCATGGATCTGAAATTGAAAGACCCCAGGTCATTCGTATTTATGGTTGAGGAGTTATACTGATTTCAAATGTATAAGGAGAGAAAACTATAAAAGAGAGGCGAAAGATACCAAAGGGACATTCAAACTCAAAAGCCTCTTATCATTAACTGTTACGGTTCCTTTGGAATAAAGATAACAAGCAAAGTTCAAAATTTAGAACATGGCCTTGACGTTTGAGCTTTGACCTCAATTTCCTCCTATGGACCAAGGACTTCATATCAAACGACTTAAGGTCTCTATGACTTATGGTGTATGTTAATTCAACATATCACCTATGTTAAATTTGACAAGTTAAATAACTCCCATTAGATGTCATTGGATTACCTCGAGTAAACGTAACCAAAGCATCTTCAAGAGAAGCCAAAAATATTTTGTGGATATATTTCACGGTTTAAAGAAATAAATATAACTAGAAAAAAGTAAAATCACAAAAATACTGAACTCCGAGGAAAATTCAATCGGAAAGTCCCTAATCACATGGCAAAATCAAATGACAAAACACATCAAACGAATGGACAACAACTGTCATATTCCTGACTTGGTACAGGCATTTTCAAATGTAGAAAATGGTAGATTGAACCTGGTTTTATAGCGCTAAACCTCTCACTTGTACGACAGTCTCATCAAATTCCGTTATATTTACAACGATGCGTGAACAAAACAGACATTATAAATAAAATAGTCAAAATATGGGTACAGCAGTCATCACTGTGTTACAATATCAAAACAAACAATTATTTACAGAAAAGCACAAAAGCATCTAACAAATTAAAAACCATATTCATTGCTTCGCGTGTCTGACGTCAGAAAATGTAAACGTCACATAAGAAGAAATTTTGTCATTCAATGTTTATTCAAAACAATTTTATAATTTCACATGGGGAATGTTGGTATACAGGGCTAAAAAATCAAAAGTTATGTTAGAATTAATTTCAGAAATAGACCGAGATTTAAAATTGTCCAGAAGTTCCTAGAATTTTTAAGAATCCACATATGGTTTATACCACTACGCGAGTAAAATAAAATTGTCGTTAGTTGTTCAGAGTATTTTCAATTTTATAATTAAACAATAACATAATGACATATAATAGAACAATAACATAATGACGGGATCTTTTAAAGTAGAGAGTCACGTTATAAGAACCACAGAAACACAAAAAGTCGCATATACAAAACACACCAGCAAAAATGAAAGATAATACAAACACATTGACGGGATGTATAAGTACCTAGCCACGTCAAATGGATATCACAGAAAACAAACCAAACAGTAAAAGTAATATTAATAATAGAACAAAGACAAATGAAAGAAAAATATAACACGTTGTTAAGATGATAAACAACGTCAGTATGCAGAATCTATACTTCAAGACCATCATGTATTATCTGTGAAGTTGATACGGAATATTTATCAACAAGGTCTTGGTACCTTCCGATGAACTTTTTTAGAAAAAGGACGAGACGTTCTTTGACATACCCCTGGTTCATCAACTTTCTGCTCAGACACTGGTGACGTTTTACAAAGTCTGAGTAGGAGCTGCAAGCTCTTGAATATCGAATAAGTTGGGAAATGTATATCCCATATGCAGGTGAAGTTGGTATATTGCTACTAAGGTGGGGGAAATTTATAATTTTAAAATTAAAATCGTCTCGTTTGTCATAGATTCTGGTACTGAGATGACTGTGTATATCAAATTCGAGATATAAGTCTAAAAATGAGGCGGAAGAAGCCGTGTTTGTTGTTTCTTTAATTTCTAGTTCTGGGGGATATATTAATGGAACCCAATCAAAAAAGTTCGGATTGTTAATGGAAAGAAAATCATCAAAGTATCTAAAAGTGAAATTAAATAATCTGGCTTCTTTGGTCTTCTTGTTTTTGACAAGTGTCTGAAGGAACTCCGATTCATATGAAAATAAGAAGAGGTCGGCAAGGAGAGGCGCACAGTTCGTTCCCATAGGAATGCCGACAATTTGTTGAAAAAGTCTACCTCCAAATTCAACAAATATGTTGTCGATAAGAAACTCCAGCATACTGATCACTTGTTCTTCTGTGTAGCATGTTTTACCCTTTTGTTCACTATTAACAAAATATGCCTTATCATATCCCAAAGTAATAAATTTATAGCGTATGCTACCATTTTTATGATGAAAGGCATTGTGGATTATTTCTTTCAGACGATTTTTCAATTTCACATGGGGAATGGTGGTATACAGGGTTGAAAAATCAAAAGTTTTGATAGAACTAATTTCAGAAAAAGACCGAGATTTAAAATTATCTAGAAGTTCTTTAGAATTTTTAAGAATCCACATATGGTTAATACCACTACGCGAGTAAACAGTTTCACAGTATTTCTGAAGACCCTCTTTCACTGCGGACAGAATTTTAGTCAATCTAATGGATAATTCTTTAGTGGAACATGCAGATGAGCCGGCAATGTACCGTTGTTTGTAAGGAATTTTGTGGAGCTTAGGTATCCAATACAAACAAGGTAAGTCCTCCGATTTGGTGTTCAATGTAATGTTCATTGAAGCCATGAAGGACTTATGATTTGCTAAAATCTCATCCTTGTCAAAGATATGTCTTTGTATGTGGGATTACCTGAGCGCTCATTTATTCCTAATTCTTTTACAAGACATTCGTAGTAATACGATTTACATATAAAGACAATATTATTTGAAACTTTGTCCGCAGGAACAACAACATACTTATCATGAAGAGATGATAGACATTTCACGGCCTCTTTGTCTCTGAAAACGGACTTAGGTCGATCATTCACACAGTTTTTCAACTTATGAATGCGACGTTTTATCAGAGACCTGATAGTTTTGACCCATTCTGACAAAGTGTCCAGTTCAACTTCTTCTCGTTTAGCCCATGCTCTGGCGTAGTCCTCAATGGAATCCATAAGTATTTTGAAGTTATGGTTCCAATTGATGTGTTGGGGTTCTCTAAACTTAGGACCATGAGAAATCACCTTTCGGAGATTTTCATGTTGAATTATGTTTAGATCCCCAGTTATAACATGACCGGAGGGGCTGTAATTATAAGGCGAGTGGGAACAGTCACATGTCGGTGGGTTTTTGAGGTATTGTTCTAAGTCAAGGTCCTGCAAGGCTTGTTTATAGTTAAATACTTTAGGTGCAATGGTTTTGGTGTAACTGAAGGATACAATAGGAACAGACTGATTTTGAAAATAAATAGGAATTTTAGATGTTACCTCCTTGTGATGTAGAACGTTGCAGATGTTGATTGCATCAATCCCTCTATTGGTAAAGTGAACAGGAAGGAATTTCCTCTTTTCCTCATGCAAAGGTTCCGATCTTACTGATTTGAAAAGACGGAAAAGAGCTACATCACAAATAATACTGACTAGTCTGTATATTGAAGAAAATGTATCGATGCATCCTTTGTCAAGTGCATAATCTCTCAAACATTTAAGAAAATTAACAGGCAGTGAAAAAAAAATAGTTCTAATGTAATGTAACCCTAGTGGATGATGAAGATGTGAAAGAAGGTCATCAAAGCTCCCAGAGGGCGATCTAGATTTTGAAGACTTTTTTACATTAGGCCGATGGTAATGTTTTTGCCCATTACTACGTTGCTGTCGTAAGGTAGTATTAAATAAACTCATTACATTAACATCACTGCAGGCAGGACTGGATAAATTTCCTACTCCTTTGACATTATCATTGCAACCATATGGCATTGCAGTCCCTAATTCCCTTATCCTGAAATTTTCTCTATCTTTGCGGAAAGGAGTACTTAGTACAGGGCTATTTGTGTGGTGATAAATTTTCTCGATGATGCGTACTTTCATAGATAAAGAAGGATCATGGTCCGGTTGATTAAAATGGTTGTAAAGAACCCTAAATTTTAAAAAGAGGGCGCGGAGAGATAACTCCTTTGCGCAAAAGTGTTAGGTTACACAGAGTCAATGGTGAAAACGTAATCACTGTACGATGTCATGGACCAAAAACCCTTTCGATATGTCAAGTAACTGAAAAACATCTCAGACGGTATAACAAAAATAATAAATTAAAAAAAAAAATTTGTTCAGAGAGCAATTGAAGGTCTTTCCACCTCAAATTTCAAAATAATTGATAAGAAGCTACTTCTGGTTTACTCAAAGTTACCTTTTGTGTCCAATCATAGGTTTCTTCATACTGATTCAAAATCTCAAGGGAGATAGTTTGCTATTTCCTGTTCTGAAAAGGTCATGTC